GCTCGTCGGCCACAGCATGGCCGGCATGGTCATCTCCACGGTCGCGGAGCGCGCGCCGCAACGGCTGGCCGGCCTCGTCTACGTGGCCGCCTACCTGCCCGGCAACGGGCAGAGCCTCTACCAGCTCTCTCAGACCGATGCCGACAGCCGCGTGGGCCGCTTCTGGCGCCAGGACAACCCGCAGGGCTACTCGCCCGCGTCCATCGCGGCCGAGGGCCTTGTCGAGGTCTTCTGCGCCGACTGCAGCGCCGGGGATCAGCAGGCCGTCGTGCAGGCGCACAGGCCCGAGGCCGTGCCACCGATGGGCACGCCCGTCACGCTGACCGCCAGCCGCTTCGGCAGCGTGCCGCGCTTCTACGTGCACACGCGTCAGGACCGCGCCGTGTCCTACCGTCTGCAGCAGCAGATGCTCTCGGCTGCCGGTGGCGCCACGCGCGTGACCACGCTCGACACCTCGCACATGCCGATGCTCACCCAACCCCAGGCCGTGGCCGACGCCATCACGGACGCCGCCCGATGATCGGCGCCGGGCCGGTCACGGTCGTCATCACGCGGCGCGTGAAGGCCGGCTTCGAGCCGCTCTACGAGGAATGGCTCACCCGGCTGCAGGCCGAGGCGCGCAACGTGCCCGGCTACCTGGGCGTGACGACCCAGCGCCCGGCCCCGCATGCCCCGCGGGACTACGTCAGCGTGATCCGCTTCGCCACCGTGGCCGACATGACGGCCTTCGAGGGCAGCGAGCTGCGCCAGCGCTACCTGGCCGAAGTCACGCCCTGGGTCGACGGCGATGCACGCTGGGACCGTCTCACCGGCCTGGAGTTCTGGTTCTCGCCGCCGCCCGGCACGGCCGTGCCCCAACCCTCGCGCCCACGCATGGCGCTGCTGATGATCGCCGTCGTCTTCGGCCTCGTGCTGTCGATCGGCTCGGCCGTGAATGCGGTGGCGGCACGCCTGCCCATCACGGTGCCCTATCCGCTGCGGCTGCTCGTCACCATCACCCTCGAGGTGCTCTTGATGACGTACTGGCTGATGCCGGTGCTCACGCGCCGGCTGGCGCGGTGGATCTATCCGGCCTGACCCGCCAGCGGCTGCGGCGTGTAGCCCGCCTCGCGGATGACCGCGGCCAGGTCCGCCGGG